TTTTTTTTTTTTAACTTGGCATAGTAATTGGTGTAGCAAAGACCTCCAACCGGCTAGGAAAGGCTAGAAATGCCTGGATCTCGAGCTAATCAACGGTTGAACGTCTTCGAACCTGCAGAACTCTCACACCGAAGGAGGTTTCCGGTGCCTAAGTTAACACTTGAAGAAGACAAGTGTTGTATGAAAATGATACATTGTTGTTCAAGATGGATGCGTGAGCAACCCCATCCATAGGCACATGAGCTAACCTAACTACCCTTTGTACTATTCTAGTTGCTCATACTGCCCAACTTTCCAGTTCTGTTAGGTCACATGATCATCTCCACGTGGGGGTTTGATCCCTTGAATATTCCTTTAGTCTTCTTCATTAAGGTCTAACCATCACATGGCCGATTACCTTCGAAATGGAACTTCATCGATGTTAAGCTCTATTATCACATTCACCTAGTCGATACTTCGACCAAGTGCTCTCTTAGGTCAAGCTTCCACCAGGCTCTCAAAGGTCTCTATTCGACGCGTTGGCATTATCCGCGTCATCGATATCTCCTTCGACTCGATGGTCTCTCGATGTGGGGTCTTCATTCTCCGTCCGATCTGATGGTTGGTTCTGTTCCATTTGACTGCATCTCCGATTTCGTCGACCTGGTGTAGTAATTCATATCAATAATAGAGTTAGATTTTTCAGGTATCATTTCTAAATAAAAATGGACTACATATATATATATATATATAATATTGAACTAAAGTGTAATTAATTATATATGTTTTATTCATTTATTTTATTTTATTTTTTGTGTTGACTCATTATATTTATTAAAACATTCTAAAAGTTAAATAAATGTTTATTTTTAGTTTTAAATTCTAAAACTACTCAATTTTACCCAGGGTTCAAAAAGTTATGGCAAATGTATTGAATAAATAAAATAATGAAATTTAATAAATAATGTAATGAATTTTTTTACCCAGGGTTCAAAAAGGTATGGCCTGCGTTTGCCGGGAGTCGAACCCGGGTCTATTGCTTGGAAGGCAATTATCCTAACCGTTGGACTACAAACGCTTGCTGATTGATTCATTGCCTTTAAATTTTTGTCCCAAACTTTTTAGGGGAAACATTTTTCGGAAACTTTGTGCCCTTTGAATTTTGATTTGAATTTTTCGGAAACATTTTTTTATTTGCCGCAAAAGGCAAATTCCATCCAAACAGAACCTCGCAAAGGGCACAAAATGAGTAACTGTCCTTTTTCCTGTAGACAGTTGCAGAAGTACAGCGCGTGAGCTGCCGCCACACATTCCCATTTTTCTGCAGAGCAAGGGATCATGGAGCCCTTGTAGCTTCTTCACGAATCTCTTCCCAAAACGGTGCCGGTAAGTCACGAGCTAAAAGCTTTATTTCATTTTCTGTATTTTTTGCGATTTTGCCCCCAAACGTTTTGCAGTTTCAGTTGCGTTTTCTTTAGCTGAAGCTTCCTCTGTTGCCGTTAGGGATCGGCGAGCCTAAACCCATTTGCCGAACAATTTCATCTCATCCAAAGCGAAAATGGGCTCGTCTGATTCTGAAGGCTCGATATCTTCCAGCTTGCCCGTTCCAAAACTGATCAAACGCATCAAACACTCGTTCCTCGAACGAGACTTTGTTGCTGTCCGAACCATATTAATGGACCGGGAGAGGGGCGTGAAGATGGAGATAGAAAGTCTCAGCCGAGAACGCGACTCCGCTAGAGAAGAGGTCTCTTTGCTGGAGGGAAAAGTGGCCTTAGGGGAGCTTGAGCGTCTGAAGGTCGAGCACAAATTGGTTCGGATTGAAAATAAATGTAGGGATTTGGAAAATACTGTGTCCTGTTTGCGTGAGGAGAATCGTTTGATAGTTGAGTTGAACGATAAAGTTGATGCGTTGACGAAGGAAAAGTTGGAAAATGAAAGGCTGGCGAGGATGTATCGGGATAAATGTGATTGTTTGGAAACAAATGCTGTGGAAACGAAGCAAGTGATGGATGATTTGAGGCACGAGAGATTGGGTGCGATCGGGACAATTGAAGATTTACGGAGAAAATTGTCTGAGGCTGAGAAGGCCGTGGACGAACTGAAAATGACGAATTTTGAGGCTAATCGGACGGTGGAAGAGATGATGTTGAAAAATTTGGAGTCGGAGAAGGAGGCTGAGTTTCATAGACGGAGGCTCGATAGTTTGGTCCCAAGAATCACGAAGATCGAGGAGTATCTTGCCGGTATGTTGAACGTGAATGTGGAGGATCTTGCTGAAATAGCAGGCGAGAAGTGCTAGCTTGCTGTATTATTGATGGCTTATATTATATACGATGTACTGTTTACGAATTATTTGTCGTTTTCCACTTTGTCAAGCATTTGAGCTATTCTTTGACTTAAGTCTAGAAAGATTGCTCGTATTCAGTTGCATTGACGAGGTTCCTATCAGGATAGTTTTCATGGCTTTTCTATTGAGTTCGGTTTTTTTTCCTGCTTTTTATGTAATCTTCTTTATGTAATCTTGTATATGGCTGGTTATCAGCAGCATTTTTGTGCTGAAATCATTGAACTCCTAATTTAGAAGCGTATTTTCCAGGTTCTGCTGCTCCTTTTTTAGCTAATCTGCAAATTTTACTCTCTAACAAAGTCTTGAGTGTTTGATGCTACTTTTGATCTATATAGGTGACGTAATGAGCCTTGGTTGAGATGCTTCACTTTGTAATTATCTTAATTTTGCAATATTGATGTAGGGAATGCGTACGAATGAGAAAATACAAGATAAAAGGAGATACTCTCTCCAGAACTTGGGATACTCTCCCGAAAGAACACACGATATTTTATTTATTCAAT